GAGATATAATGACTGCCTGTCTTTATGATCATTTGGAACCATCACTGTCTTTTGTTTTGTAAGGCCTTCTTTGGTGCCATTCGTTGTGCACCTGGATCAACTGAGAGAACTACCCTGCCCCAGGTTATGATTAAGGGTTTTAATTTTCGAAAAGAAAAACTCCTACTTCTTTGGCTCAGAAGGGTTGACGAGGGATTATCTTCCTTATAACTCCAGTGTTTAGGAATTGAAACAATGCATGTACCTCATCAGCGGGGTCTGTTTAAAAGCATACTGTAGATCGTGGTATCGTTTTCGTCATCCTCCCTCAAGAGGCTTAGAATTATTAACCGAGAGTTGACATCAAAAAATGAAAGCAGTTTGAATATAGCGAATGCGAATATATTGATTCAAAACAGACATATGCGATGCATTAATGAAATAACAACGTTTAACATGAATAAATGTTTGAACAATCAAAAGAAAATTACAACTTGAAAATTCTAATAGACAAAAGGTCTTCTCATTTCAGGACTTGTTACTTCAAATGGTGAATCCTGTAGGGATGGTAGAAGCATTCAGCCTGACCCACTTGGGTGAAATCCACTGCTCCTTCATTAATCAGGTCCTGGACCTTGTTCTTCAGAGCCCAACAGTCGGCAGTGTCATGTCCAGGACTATCAGAGTGGTACGCACATCTTTTGTTGGGATGATAGTTAGGAGCAGAGATGTTGGGGTTTCAAGGAGGAGCTCTTAATGTAATCAGATTCAACCTCAACAGGTGTTGTAGAGCTTGAAACAACGACATGTTGAGCTGGGTGAACTGTCTCCTGGGCTTGTTTGGCCTACTCTGATCAACCTGTTGCTCTGGGCGAGGTTGTGGTTGGACCTGTGAGGTGGTAGCAATTTGGAGAGTTCTATTCTTCACCATGCCGAACTCTTGTCTTCTTGGAAGTTGATCAATGACCTGGTCCCTGACTTGGGCTGGTTGCTTCATGTCTTGATGAAGCTGACTGATCATGGTCCTCAACTCTTCTTGCTCCCGAGCTAAGCCTTGGATGAGAGCCATTTGCCCCAGCATCTGGGTTCTCATTGTATCCACCTCAGCTTGCAGACGTTTCATTCGTTCGTCCTTGTCATCTTTGGGACTTTGCTTGGCCAGATTCCCCATGAGGAGTGTCCTTAACTCTTCTTGCCCCTTGGATAGGATTAAGAAGATCTCCCTGAACTGAGTCTCTTGAGCCTGAAGACCCTGGTTATCTTGTGGGGAAGCCATTGCTGAAATAAACAGCGAAGAAGGTAAGTGACCTGTAACAAGGATACCTGTAATGCAATGATGTATATGTATGCATGCAATGTTTTCAAGGATCTCGCGGGGTAAACAAGAAAATTGTTAGCATTTGAATTTGTAGCTTGATTGAAGGAACTTCATGTTGATGAGAATCCTTCTTAAGGGTCAAAGGCTCACCATATCGAGTGGGTCATAGCCCCTGACTCAAACTATTCTATTTTTATTTCTGGACAACCTTGGTTAGAGGAAAATAAATCCCCTTTTGCCCCTTGTTTGATAGTTGGTTCATCATGACCTGCATCACAAACCCTTGAGATCCTTGAAACGGATTAGTCCTTATGAAGGATGTATGCAATGGTATGGTGTTATGCTATGCATGGAGTGATGTAAGTAAACCCTGTTATGAGCCCAGATTAAGGACTGTAAACAAAACCTGCAAGGAACTCGTGTTGTTAGATAACAAGTATGCAAGTAGTTCAAGTATGAAGGCACACAAGTCACACCAGACAACCCTTAGAGTTTAGGCCAGCATGAAGTTTAGGTACTACCCTCTTGAAGTTGGTGGGCTCAAAACCTGTCCTATCAAAAGTAACCGGGTTCTAGAGGATCTCAATATCATCGACTACCCTCAACCGGTCATAACTCCAGCGTCGCAATCTTTTCTTGCGGCCAGAACCATCGCGAGAGTTTAGCCTCAATGAGTGTAGCATACTGCTACTGTTCTATTGGCTAAGTTAGGTCATTTAAGGTGCTAAGGTCGGTTGGTGCTTAATGACTCCTTAGAAGACCCATATTCACCTCGTTGCAACACAAAGGATATCGGTACAGACCAAGGTGTCACACCAACGTAGCCACTGCTTCACCCGTGTCGGTCTACGCCGGACAGGTCCCTCACAGCTTATGCTACCTAAAAGGGTATCCCCAAATCCGGGTTAGGATCTATGAAACTCCGATGCAATGTCCACAATTATAAAGCAATCAAAGCAAGCAATTGAAAACATAAGTATGATCTAATCCTAACGTACACCTCACTTTAAGTATGTCCCCAGCAGAGTCGCCAGTTCTGTGATCGGTGGATTTAGAACTGACTGTTTAACGCTGGATCGCGAAATGTCGCGGAAGCAAGAGTCGCCACCGTCTTTTATTTTCTCCAAACATGGACAGGACAAAAGCACAGCAAAATTCCTTATGATATTATCTCTCGGTTCGGGAGGTAGATTTATAGAAAGGGAAGGTGTAAGCACCCTTTCTATCCATGGTTATCCATGGGCTCTTAGATACTTGCTCATTGTGTTTTCAAAATGTTTTCTTTTCAATTGTGAGTGGGTTTGAAAAAGTTTCGTTTAAAGATTTAGGAATAACTCTTGTATCAGTCCTCAAGAGTGTTTGAAAAATTATTTTGAAAGCTTTTTGAAAAGTGTCGGTGTGAAAAGAGTTTTGATTTGTTTTTTAATAGAGCAAGTATCTATGAGTCATCTACCTACCCTAAGGAATTAGGCTGTATAAATGTCCTTAAGGTAGTGCCATCCCACCATTGAGAGGTAGGTAGCACCACCGTTAGAGGTGTTCGGGTCAATTCTTTTGTGGGGACAGTGTGGTCACCAGAGCAACAGTAGGACACCTTAGAAGCTACCCTTATGCCCTTGATCCTTTTTTAATCCGAGGCAACCGTTTCGAGGCAACTGGATCATGGACATAAGGACTTACTAAAACGTCCTATACTCGACGACCATGTTTCGAAGGTAAGGCAACAGGTGAGGCGTACCCTAGAAGTGGTGTGCGAATTTGTGTTTTATTTTCATGTTAAGTTTATCTTTGTACATGGTATTGTGAGCTACGCTTGTTTTTAATTTGGCCATACATTCTTTCATGCAAGTTAGAAGTTAAGAGTGCGGGAATTTAAATGCGGAAAGATAAAACTATGCTATTACAAGGCGCGGGTCTATACTGTAGCGGTGAAAATCGGAGATCAAGCTATTAATTAACTTGACTCGCAAAAGCAAGAGTCGCCACCGCGCTTTATTATTTCCAAGGGAAAAGGGAAAAGAGCGAAATAAAACCCTAAAATATGCAATGTAAAATAATACTTAAAAGTAATAAAAATACAATGCGTTTTTGAAAGAGATCGAGAGTTCAGGGGTTGGTTATACAATGGGAAGGTATTAGCACCCAATGCATCTGCGGTACTCTGCAGGAACCTTTTGAAATATCTGTTTTTTGGTTAAAAATGGTTTGTTTGATTAAAATGGTTCATTTGGCTAAAGATGGGTATGGATGATATTTTTGAAGATACGACGACCTAGTATCGAAGTTTTAACTTAAAAAGGTGTGAGTTTGAAAATGGAGTCTTTTGGGAAAATTATTTTAAGTTTGGAAAAATAGTAAACAAGCAAAAAATGAATGAGGTTATTCACACGATTGTGGAAGATGTATTTGATGACATGAAGTCAGCTGAGTTGAAACATTTCCCTTGGAATTAAAACCACAGACGGATAAATAAGCTAAGAGTATATCAAACCTTAGGTGAAAATAAATCACAAGCCGACAGCATCGTCAAAAAAAACCTAATGTGAGATAATACTCCAAGCATCAGATGAAGCGCAAAGGCGGTGGGTAAAGCTCACGGTGTCAGATAAGAATCCCTACATCACAAGAGATATACCGACAAAATCTAACAGCACGGGAAACTTATGTGCGTTCGTACAATTTTCAGAAGTTAGTTGGAAAAAATAAAATCATAATGCGATGGAAATAATATTTTCAAAACCTGAATTTATTTACAAGTAAAATATACAGTCAAAATTTTATGTACAAGTATATATTTACAGTACCAAATATTAAATAAAAATAGTAAGGTAAAAAGGGAATAAAGAAAAATTATAAATGCACTACGCGGGAACGAACGCTTGAAATTGTTCTCGAAAACCTTCACAGTAAGCAAATTTGTTAGTAGCATAAGCGGTGTACAAATTAAAATGAAACAAAATTGCAACAATTAAAATATGTGTTAGTGAGTATAAAATCAAAATAAAATTATGAATACACGTGAATAAATGAATATTTACACAAATCAAAATCAAGAATTCATGAAATTATTCAATTCAAAATCGAACACGGAAAATTGATTCCAATTCAAGAATTATTCAATTAAACCAATTTTTGGACAACCATTATATCTATGCATTAAACTCCATAGTTCCAATTGAAAGAAAAAAAACTAATGAGGAACAAATTAATTATTAAAACTAAATTTAAATTCTCCAAAATTGACAACAAAAAAACTAAAAATGTCAACAATACCCATTTTAACACAATTGTTTCAAAAAACTCTACAATTCAACTAAAAGAAACACATCACATTAATTTCAATTCAATATATTAATTAGAAAGGAAAATGGGTCTAAAAAAAAAGTGTTGTTGCTATTTGGAATTGAAAGAGGGCAACAGAGGAAATTGGCAAAACATTGCTACTGTTATTTACGTTCACCAAGCCTTTCCATTACCACTACGACATGTTCATCATTTCAATTTAAAAGAATCACCAAAGCTTCTATTTCACAATCAAAGTTCCAATTACAATCAATAATCATCATCATGTTATCAATTAAATTAGCAACCTAAAACTAACATCTCAAATTCAATAATTATAAACAAAACCAATTTAACCAAACACGAAACAAACATATCACTCAAAATTGAATTAACAGCACAACACTATTCCTCTTATTATTCAATCCAAACAAACCTTTAACCATTTCAAACTGCAGGAAAAAAAGAAAACTAGAGAAGAAAGTACTGAACCGTGTCGAAAACGAAAGTTACTAGCCAAGGTCGTTGACGGTAGCGGATGCGCACGGTTAATAGCTTCCATAAGAGAAGCTCCATCATCATTTTTAGGCTTGACGTGCAATACAATCTCCACACCAACTGACTCTCTGGCAGATTTTTTGACAGATTCAATAATAGATGCCTTCTTTTGGCTGTACAATATGTGGATCTGCGCCTTTGTGAAAACCATAATTGTTTCCGGGAACTCAAATCCAAGGAGCCACAAGAATAGAGCAGTAGATTTTAGGTATCTTAGATCTTCTGAAGGTGGAGGACATGCGACATCAACTGCATCAGAAGAGCCCCAGATATTTGCTTTGTGTTCATCCCAGTGATTGTAAAATGACTTCAGTATAGTTTGAAATGTAGTCAGATCAATAGCATAGGCTGAACCAGCTGCACTAGATTTTCCATTGGCAGCTTGTGCACTTCCATTTCGATGGTCTGACATGGTATGCTATTTCTGTAAAGGAGTAACACTGAGAGGCTTCAGGCGTGAACGGTGGTTGTTTCGTTATCTGCGATTTGAGAAATTTGTTGGAAGCGGCGCTTGGTTGTTGAGATGAGGAAGAACGTTTCGATTTGGGGGAATTGTGGATTGGATTTGCGTGAGGTTCAACGGAGGTTGGTGTTAATGGAAGAGGCAGTTTTGGTGTGGGTTAGTGATGGAGGGAAGAGATCGGGGAAGTATGTTTTACGGTGATGATTGAGGATGAGAAGAATGGTCGCATAAGAGAAGAAGGGATGAGTCGATGAAGGTGAGTGGTTGACGGTGAAGGTGAAAGGAATTAGGTGGTACACGTGCAAGGTTGGGATGGTGACGTATAAAGGAAATAGTATAAAGTAAATAGAAGGGGTTTACTGTGAAGGGAAGAGGAAATTGGGACGTGAAGTAAGCTAGCAGAGGGAGTTGTGAGAAAGAGAGATGGTGCTTTTGTTGTGTTTGGTTTTTTTTGTTGTTCTTCCCCCCTTAACAAAGAAAAGAAAGAAGTGTTTATATAGACAGATCAAGAGGAAATTTCACTTCTGTTTTGCAATTCATTTGCTATTTCTGGATCGATCCATTACTCTCTCTAACAACCAATCAGAATAAAGCACAGTTTAACAAATAATTTTTTATGACCAAAAAGCCCTTAAATGATAAAAATAACCAAAAAACTAAATGCATTAAAATTAACTCAATTTAAAGTGATTTTTTTGAATATTTTATGAATAAAATATAAAGACCCAAAATGACCGAAAATGATAAAAAACGGACAAAAATTTATCCGAAAAAATAAAATGAACACATTAAAATAATCTACATGTCACAAAGATTAAAGAAAAAATATTCAAGAAGTCAAAACTCAAAAATAAAATAATAATAAAAATATCAGACTAAACAGACGTTTAAGGTTAAAAACGAGACTTCGAACTGTACCGAAAAAATAAAGCGAGCATACCGTCATAATCTATACGAAACGCAGATTCATAAAATGATCGGTAAAAGGTGAAAACTTGAAATATTTTTCTCGCTAATTTTTCGTACATTGTTGAATTGCTTTTAACAGTTTGTCTATAAAACCAAAATATTTTTATTATCGACATATAAACAACTTGGAGCAATGCAAGAAACGGGTAAAGAGATAAAAATGCATGAAGTGAAATGTCAGGTATTTTTTAACTAAAAGACGATGCAAACTTTGATTTAAACTGAACTCCTGGTCAACTTAAATACGACTAATGATGCAAAATGTGATGAACGAAGATATTTACTAATGATTGTGACCAAGTGACAAAATATGGTATGAATGTGCGAATGAAAAAATTAGGGGCGAAATTAAGGGTACAACGGTGTGCCTTGATGAATCAGTCTTCGAGAATCCACAATCAACCGTACTTCTGGCTTGAGAGATTCTGAACCCTAATCGAGGCATGACGCCTGATGCTCTTGATTCAGATCTGTTTCCTGCAAATGAAATCAAAGAAACAAAAAAAAACACACACTTCGTGCTTGATTAGAAGTTAGTGATACATATGCTAAAAATGTTCAAAACACTTGACAATCTTCGCATAGTCAAAGCTTGAAGGTGAGACGTTAAAACCGACCGTATTTCGTGACCTTGACTTATCAAAAATAAAAAATGGGATCTTAGGTCAAAAATTGGGGTACAACATATACATCGCCAAAATACAAAGACCCGTTTTAATAAAAATGCGGAAAGTAAAAAAGACCTAATTACTATTACAAGCCTTGAGCAGTTACATAATATTCGAAAGAAAATAAATGCGCGAAAAGAATAAAAGTTAGGACGTCCGAGGGTTTTGAACCTTTTGAAATTAAACTGAATTAAAAGCTAATTAATTATTTAATTAAAGAAAAGAAATTGTTTTTTATGTTTTTTTATTTATGAAATAAAGGAAATTAAAATTAAATGGAAACCCTAATTCTAGATTATTTTTAATTATTAAAGAAAATATCCAAGTTAACCTAATTTACTTAATTGATTAATATACATGTTTTATTTACAAAAATAAATAGTAATTATAATACTAAATAATGAGAGAAAATTAATTATTTAAGAAAAGATGAAAAATGTCAAAAACCTAAATCTAAATATTTTTTATTTATTAAAGAAAAAGATTAAAGTTTAAGACCTAATTTAAACTAAATTAATTGTTAGAGTTTATTTACAAAATAAATTAATGGTGAATTAAATATTAATTAAACATATTTTTATATTTTTCTGTTTTTATTATGGAAAAATTATTTTATGGAATTAAAGAAACAATTAAAAAAACAATTAAAAGAATTAAAATTGAGAAGAAAATAAAATTAAAAATGCAAAACAGGGGTATCAGGCCCCAAAGGGAGGTGCTTGCAAGAAATTTAGGCCCACCAGAACAAAGCCTTGTTTGACTTCTTGGGATTACGTGTGGGATGGTTGACTGAGTGTACCATGGACCTCATCCTGCAACCTTCAGATTGGACCTTGAAGCCACTTGTCAGGCTAGCGCATGAGCGTGCATGGTAGAACGTTTGATGGATGCTGCATGGGAATACGTTACAACAAAAATTATGCAATATGTGGGGGACCTGGGAATCGAACCCAGGTCCCAAGGCTTGCAACACATGTCCACTACCAACTGAGCTGCTATACGCGTTTGTTAACATAATGGAACACAAATATTATAATAAAAACAAAAGTTAATGATATGAAACAAGAAAAACGTGCCAGATTTTTGAATGCTCCAACCATATGAAGACACGCATGCTTTCTTCTTCGTTTGCCTGAAACAAAAAGGAATGAATAGTGGGGGTTTTAAACCCCCACTAAATGGAAACTGCAAAAATAGCGATTAGAAGATGCCTAAATATAAAAAGGGCGCGAGGTCATCAAACGACTCGTCTTGTTGTCACGAATTCATTCATACAAGTTTGGTGGTCTGATTTTTCCATATATGAGAACCCCTAATTTGGAGCTTCTGAAACCCTAGGTTTCATCAATGGTGAATCTCGTTTCAAGCATTTTTAGAACAATTAAACTATGCCAAAAGTTTCAGAAGATCATTAGTAGCAAGAATCAACAATTAAAACATATGAATAACGCATGGAAATCAAAAATCGATTATGGACATATTCATGAAAAGGGTGATTCTGTTCTACCGATTCTTGGAGTATGGGGACTAGTTCTTGATTGCAATCGACTCCTAGCAATGTCAGGAATGTATTAGAATTCTTTTTATGCTTTGAAACATGCTCTAACTATGAAATCAGTTTCACAGTTTCTTTGGAATTTTGGCAACTTTGTTCTATCTTTCTGAGCAGCTTTTCGTGTATTTTAGAATAGGCTTGAGTTGTGCATAAGTAAGTGAATGAGATTAGGTCAAAAACAAGCCCAAAGATCCATCCATTTATGTTTTGAATATTTGATTTTTATCACATCTTTTTTTAATCTTTTTGCCATGAAAACCTTGCCAATTATGGAAGATTTGGTCTTGTTGATTGATGCATGAAATCCTTAGCATGTGTGGAAGATATTTGCTGCATAAAAAGATTTGAAAAGCATTATTTGATATTTTCTGATATTTAAATCTAATTAAATGAATTAATAATAATAAAAATTCAATTAATTAATTAAAAATAAGAAAATAAATCATTTTTAGCTCAATGGGTCGTGCATATGCTTTGGGTAATGATTCAAGGAAGAATTTGAGGCCCATTAGCATTTTTGAAGCTTTTGAAGCAAAGTTAATTTTTCAAAATTCCCAAATATTTCCCAACTTCTCCAAGGCATATCTTGCTCAATTTTGAAGCTATGATCATGTTCTTGGACATTTTGGAAAGGTTTTGAAGTCCTCTAACCAATGCCATTGGTCCCATGTCATTTTGATTTACCAATCGCAAGTTATGGTCTTTGACTTAAAGTGCCTTTTTGTTGACTTTTGAAAATGACCTATAATGTTGAAATTGATAACTTTTTGTGAGAGCATTTCTTGGACTTGAAGTGTGAAGATGAATTGTAGGAAATGCCATTCTCTTAAAAATGAGCTTTGGATGGGATTTTTATGATAAACCATGAGGAAGTTATGCCTTGGTCAATTTGCAGTTGATTTTTTCAACTGTCCAAAAATAGAAACTTTTGCATCTTGAGACTTTTTGAGCCATGCTTTGAGAATCATGATCAAGAATTGATCAAATGATGTTTGTGGCTTCAAAATAAGAATGTTGACCAAAAATTTGGACTTTTGACTGTCAAATGACCATTTTGCCCCTATAGTTGACTATGGAGCAATTAGGTTTTTTGACGGTGCAACTTGATGCTGTGAGTCTTGAATCTTGGCATATGGATGCTTGGCAATATATATGGGCATATGGGACTTGATTGGACCCTTGGAAACCTCAATTTCTTTGCAAGAACCAAAACCCTAATTTTGATTGTATTAGGAGGCAATTGGACTGTGCAACCCTTAAGAGATTTTGAATCTTTTGGAGATTGATCTTGGAAAATCTTGAAGAATATGGGAGGGAAAATTTTGGGGTACAACACTGTTTAACTCTTGTAGACACGGGATGAAAACCAAGACCTTCTCCAGACTTGTTCTCAGGCAAAGTCAACACCTGGCCCCAACCTTTAGTCGAACCACTTTCAACCACTCGTCGCACATCCTCAAAAGAAGAAATAGATGTCCCTTGCTTCTTCACTTCATTATTAGCAACAGATAGAGCTTGGAATTGGGTTCCAACATCTTCATCAACATCAATAAAAGAGAAAGATGACAAATGGCTTACCACCATAGCCTGCTCTCCACCAATCATTACCAGCTTTCCATGCCTTACAAACTTCAATCTCTGATGGAACGTGGAAGTGACTGCCCCTGCATCATGGATCCATGGACGACCCAATAGGCAACTGTAGGCGACACGAATATCCATTACTTGAAAAGTGATCTGAAAAGTATAAGGACCAA